GAGTTTGAGACCAGCCTGACCAACATGGTGAAACCCCATCTCTACTAAAAATACAAAATTAGCCGGGCATGGTGGTGCATGCCTGTAATCCCAGTTACTCGGGAGGTTGAGGCAGGAGAATCACTTGAACCCGGGAGGCAGAGGTTGCCATGAGCTGAGATCGTGCCATTGCACTCCAGCGTGGGCAACAAGAGTGAAACTCCATCTCAAAAAAAAAAAAGAAAGAAAAGAAAAACAAGTATTAATTAATGAAATTAGGGCCTGGTGTGGTGGGTCATGCCTGTACTCCCAGCTGCTTGGGAGGCTGAGGCATGAGAATGGTGTGAACCCGCAAGGTGGAGGTTGCAGTGAGCTGAGGTCGCACCACTGCATTCCAGCCTGGGCGACACAGCAAGACTCTGTCTCAGAAAAAAAAAAAAAAAAAAAAGGAAAGAAAGAAAGAAAGAAATATTAATGAAATTAGCCGAGTGTGGTGGCACATGCCTGTCATCCTAGCCACTTGAGAGGCTGAGGTGGGAGGACTGCTTGAGCCCAGAAGGTGGAAGGCTGGAAAAATATTACCAAGAGTTCTTATTCTTTCCCCTGGTTTAAGTGTTTTTGTCTGTTTTTCTTTTTTTCTAGAGACAGGGTCTCATTCTGTCACCCAGTGTATCACAGTAATAGCTCACTGCAGCCTCGAACTTCTGGCTCAACTGATCTTCCTGCCTCATCCTCCTGAGTAGTTGAGACCACAGGTATGTGCCACCATGCCCAACATTTTTTTTCCTAGAGATGGGGTCTCTCTTTGTTGCCCAGCCAGGCTGGTCTCAAACTCCTGGCTTCAATTGATCCTCCCACCCTGGTCTCCCAAAGTGCTGGGATGACATGTTTTGACTATTTTGGAGTCCATGGCTCTCATCATTTGCTCCACCCCTTTTTTTTGTTTGTTTTTAAAGAGACAAGGTCTCACTGTTGCCCAGGCTAAGTGCAGTGGTGTGATCATAGCTTACTGCTGCCTGGAACACCTAGGCTCAAGTGATCTCTCCCTTCGGCCTCCTGAGTACTGGAATTACAGGTGTGCACCACCAAGTCTGGCTCATTTCTCCACCTTTTAATACAGTAGATTTAAATAAACAATTGATGAAAGTGGAAAAAAAATTTAGCCACAACATTGCCCAATAATATAATTTAGAGTTTATAAATACATATTAAAAAATCAAGTGGCTGGGCATGGTGGCTCACACCTGTAATCCCAGCATTTTGGGAAGCCAAGGCGTGTGGATCTCCTGAGGTCAGGAGTTCAAGACCAGCCTGATCAACATGGTGAAACCTCATCTCTACTAAAAATACAAAAATGAGCTGGGCATGGTGGTGGGCACCTGTAATCCCAGCTACTTGGGAGGCTGAGTCAGGAGAATCACTTGAACCCAGAAAGCAGAGGTTGCAGTGAGCTGATCGCACCATTGCACCCCGGCCTGGGTGACAAGAGCAAAACTCTGTCTCAAAAAATCAAAATAAAAAATCAAGCAGACAGTATGCAAAACTGCAGAATCAAAGTTTCTGTGACAAAGAATGCTACTGTCCCCCACTATACATTCTTCCATTCTTCCTTTTAATAACAGATGTCCTCATTACCATCCAAAACTAAGTTAGGCACATAGATGTCCAACTACAGACACATTTCCAGCCTTTCCTGCAGCTAGGCGTGGTCATGTGCCTAAAGTTCTCACCAGGAGAGATGTGAGCAGAAGTGTTATATGCCTTGCTTAAAAAGGAAGCTTGTTTGCCCTCTACTTCTCTCTCTCTCACTCTCTCTTTTTTTTTTTCTTTTTTAAGTGGAATGCCCTCTGTTTCTCTTTCTGCTTCCCACAGGGTATAATGAAGTCATCAAGGTCAGCCAGCTTCCACTATAAGGATAAAGACAACATGATAGAAGACAACAGAGTAACAAAGGGAAAAAACCTAGGTCCCTGGCTCACCTTGTGTATGAAAGCCTGAATATTTACTCTGAACTGTTACGTGAGAAAGATTTCAATTAAGATCTTCTTTGGGCCACATATTGTAGAGTATCTTTTTATTTTTTTATTTTTTTATTTTTTTGAGACGGGGTTGCCCAGGCTAGAGTGCAATGGTGTGATCTCAGCTCACTGCAACCTCCGCCTCCTAGGTTCAAGCCATTCTTGTGCCTCAGCCTCCCGAGTAGCTGGGATTACAAACGTGCACCACCACGCCTGGCTAATTTTTGTATTTTTAGTAGAGACAGGGTTTCACCATGTTGGTCAGGCTGGTCACAAACTCCTGACCTCAGGTGATCCACCCGCCTTTGCCTCCCAAAGTGCTGGGATTACAGGCATGAGCCACCGTGCCTGGCCTAGAGTATCTTTATCATAGCAGCTCACCCTAGATATTAATAAACTCTCCAAAGTCATTTACTCTAAGGTCACACGATTATATTGTAAATGAGGCTACCATAACTCCTGATTTTGCAATTTTTCCGTTGTGTGGATATAAGGATACTCTGGGAAATTCTAGTGGAGATCCCCTGGCTTTTATTGTATGATGGGTCATTTGGTCTTTTTCAAGTTCACCAGACTAGGACAAAAAATAATTATGCTAAGAAAATCCTTCTACCCTTAATAATCCAGAGAGACAGAGAGAACTTGGCCTGTGCCAATTAACCTGTTCATCACAGAAGGAAGGAGAAAAACAAAAGACTGAAATATACTTGGAAGGGTGTTGAACAGGGAAGTTGGAGAATTACGTGCTTTGGAAGACACTCAACAAGAAGGGTTAATGGGTTGCAACCACAAGGTCCTGATATCTTCTAAAAGACCTTACTTCTTAGCTGCCAATGTGTTCAGGCGTGATGACTCAGTTTCTGTTTCTCTGAACATTAATACTAGGGTCTGTATAATTTCAATGCATGCCCTAGAAAATAAAACAATAAAAGGCAAAGAAATTGCATGATTTCATTAGAAGCTCAGAATTCCATGAAAGTAGTAATCTTTGCTAAAACTGCTTCCAGATACCCATACAGAAAAAAGTACAGGAAATAAATTCTGTACATCAAATTGTTAACATTGGTTAAGTGCCTACTCTGACTGCTACACAGTAAACACCCAAAAACATTTGCTGGTCGGGCGGGGTAGCTCACACACTACTGATGCTGTAATCCCAGCACTTTGGGAGGCCCAGGTCGGCGAATGGCCTGAGCCCAAGAGTTTGAGACCAGCCTGGGCAGCATGCCGAAACCCGCCTTTACAAAAAATAGCTGAGTGTGGAGCTCAGGAGGTCAAGGCTGCAGTGAGCCATGATCATACCACTGCACTCCAGCCTAGGGGACAGAGTGAGAACTTTTCTAAAAAACAAGAAAAAAATTGTTGAATGAATGAATAGCTGGATGTCAGTACTAAGTCATTTTTTTTATGTATCTCTTTTCCAAAGTTTTTAGGATAATCACACACTGTTTTAAAATTATTGTTTAATTTTTAATATTTTCAGAAAGGTAATATTTGGCTCAAAATGTCAATGGTAAAAAAGAGAATACAGTGAAAGCTGTCTCTCCTCCAGATACCCACTTTTCCCACTTTGGGACAACAAATATTACTAGTTTCTTGTGCATCCTTCCATTAAAATTAGAACAAAATGAGTTCTACTTTTTAAAATCCACAGGAAGAGGCCAGGCATGGTGGCTCATGTCTGTAATCCCAGCAGTTTGGGAGGCTGAGGCGGATGGATCTCCTGAGGTCAGGAGTTTGAGACCAGCCTGGCCAATGTGGTGAAACCCCGTTTCTACTAAAAATACAAAAATTAGCCAGGCATGGTGGCGTATGCCTGTAATCCCAGTTGCTCGGGAAGCTGAAGCACAAGAATTGCTTGAACCCACGAGGCAGAAGTTGAAGTGAGCAAAGATTGTGCCACTGCATTCCAGCCTGGGCAACAGAGTGAGACTCTGTCTCAAGAAAAAAA